TCATAAAAGGAAAACAAAAGTGAGTGGGAGCACAGTGAAAAATTGCAGGTTAACCCATTGGATGAGGCCTCTGGGATGCCCCACAGGCACAGGACGGGGATCTCCAGGAGAGTGAGTGGGGCAGGAGCACAGAGAGCCAGGGAGGTGCCTCTAACAGGATGGCAAATGGGACAGCCCCCAGATAACCAATTTCACACCAAAAATGTCCCAGGGCCAGGCAAACACCAAGGAATTCCCAAGGCATTCCCTGCCCAGCAGGTATCCCTCTTCTGCTGCAGTCAAACTTGTCACAGCTCAGGGAAAACACAAAGCTCTGTGCCCCATTTCATTGTGTTTGAGAATTCATCATCCCTCTGATGGGGAGGAATGAGATTTATTGTGTTTAATAATTTATCATCCCTCTGATGGGGGGAGGAATGAGATTTATAACCCAGCTGAGTTCCTGCCCAGGAGGCTGCCCTGGAATGGGGCTGCTCACCAAGGGCCCAGCTCTGGCTCTGAGGGCTTTTACTGCAGGAGGCTGCACCTCACCTGAGCTTTAAATCACTGAGCTGTGTAAATGACTGAGCTGTGTAACTCACCTGAGCTTTAAATCACTGAGCTGTGTAACTCACCTGAGCTGTAACTCACTGAGCTGTGTAACTCACCTGAGCTGTGTAACTCACCTGAGCTGTGTAAATGACTGAGCTGTGTAACTCACTGAGCTGTGTAACTCACCTGTGCTGTGTAACTCACCTGAGCTGTGTAAATGACTGAGCTGTGTAACTCACTGAGCTGTGTAACTCACCTGTGCTGTGTAACTCACCTGAGCTGTGTAAATGACTGAGCTGTGTAACTCACTGAGCTGTGTAACTCACCTGAGCTGTGTAACTCACTGAGCTGTGTAACTCACCTGAGCTGTGTAAATGACTGAGCTGTGTAACTCACCTGAGCTGTGTAACTCACCTGTGCTGTGCAACTCACCTGAGCTGTGTAAATCACGGAACTGGGTAACTTACTTGAGCAGAAGTGCCCACGTTTGTCCCTGCCCGTGCCAGGGTGGGACAGCAGCAGGGGACAGAGTGCACAGGGCAGCCCCTGTGGGAAGAGCAAACTGTAAAACACCAGGCAGACAAAACATCTGGCAGCTGCCTCAAATAGTTCTGTGTCTGAGGGGCAGACAGGCCTGCAGGAGCTTGGAATGAGAACATGTGCAAAGGCAGGAGGGTGCTCCAGTTGTTCTGCGCAAGCATTGAATGGGTTTGTTGCTTTCAGCACTGCTTTGTAAGCCAAGAAAGGCTGTGCTTTGGGTTAGGTTCTTAATTTTAACAAGCTCTAGTAAATAAATCACTGTATTTCCTTCTCCAGTCAAACGCAACTTTGGCATAAGATGAACAGCACTAGGAAGCGTGTGGGAGCGAGGAGGGCAGTGTGCTGGGAGCTGCTTTCCATAATTGTCTCACCTTCTGCAGGAGAGAAGGTGTGGCTGCCAAAACGAGTTCCCAAAAGCGTGACGCACGTTCCTTGAGCTCCCACATCCCGGGGAAAGGGAAAACTGCCTTGGTGCTGGCAGAGGCTTGGCAGGTCCTGGGCTCCAGCAGGGGAGGTGTTTGTGCTCAGAAACAAACCCAGTGCTGCAGACAAAGCAGAGAATTGGCAGCTGCCTCCCCCTCCAGGCTCCTGTCCTGGCATTGTCAGAGCTGGGAGGATGCTCAGCTTTGGGCAGGGGTGGGACCAGGACAGGGGCCTGCACCAGGACAGGGGCCTGCCCACAGCAAGGGGACAACACTGCCAAAGAGGGATGACACCTTTCCTTACCTTTGGGCAGGAGTGGGACCTGCACCAGGACAAGCTCCCTGCCCACAGCAAGGGGACAAGGCTGCCAAACAGGGATGACACATTTCCTCACCACATTTCCTCACCACATTTCCTTACCGTACTCCCTTACCTCTCCCCCATTGAACGCTTCTCCCCTCGAAGCTTTCCTGCACACAAATCTCTTCCACAACTCCCAGGAGGAGCCAAAAGCTCCTGCAGTGCTCGTGCAGAGCACCAGGATGCCAAAGCTCTCTGAGAGAGGCTCCAGCACAGGCTGGCAGCTCCCAGGGCCAGGAGCAGCTCCCAGGGCTGACCCTGGTGAGTCAGCAACGAGGAGGAGGAGGAGGAGGAGGAGGAGGAGGATGATGCCGGCAGGGGTGGCTCTCAGGGCACACGAGCAGAACCTGCAGCTTCTCCTGCCCCTCACACGCTGCCAGGGCTGGGACGGAGGCAAGAACAGCAGAGCTCCGCTGATTTACTGGGAGCTGCTGCTCTGTGATATCATTTGTTGATCCCATCAGGGCCAAGCCCCAAGCCACGACTTCCTCCCCCGTTGCCATGGCACTGTACATAAACAGGGCAGGCTCCCAGCCCCGGGCAGGTCATTTGCTTCAAATATTCCATGCAGCTGGAACACGAGCCTGTTTGGGTGTCTGGAGCTGAGCATGAACTAATTCCTCAGTTCTGTGCACCCTCAGCCACTCCCAGCCTGGAGTGCTGGGCAGAACCAGGCACAGGAACAAAACCTGGCACAGAACCAGCTCAGGGGCAGAACCAGAACCTGGCACAAAGGCAGAACCAGGCTCAGGGGCAGAGCGTCCTCAGCTCTGATCCCTGAATCTGCTGCATGCTGGAGCTCAGGAGCTACAAACCCTCTTAATCATGCGGTTTTCCGCATGTAAGAGACACCCAAAACTCAAAAAAATAAATCTTGTCCTGACTGGAGACAAGACAAGAAAGCACTCGCCTTTTTTTGGGCCCTCCCTCCCCAGCACCCTGTTAGGCAGCTGATTAATTAGGCATTAGTTCAGGCTGTGTGTGTGGACTCATTGCAAGATTTGGCTTCCTCACACGACTTGGTGGCTGCAGGGGGACAGAGAATTGTGGGGGCAGGAGGAGGACCTGGAGCCTTCATCACCACGGGCAAAAGCATCACCACAGCTGGAGAGAAGGCACAGCAGCAGCAAGCGGTGCAAATCCAGCTGCAAATCCAGCTGCAAACCAGAACCCAGGGCTGTCCCATCCCAGGTCACACCCAGCTCCATCTCTGAGGGGCTGCACACACTCAGCCTGCCCACCCCAGCCTGTCCCACAGCTGCACACACATTTCAGGGGTAAATTGTTATTTCTCCAAGCAGGGATGAGGCAGAGGCAGCCCCTGCCCTGCCTGCCTGGGCAGGCTCTATGGAATAAACTCACTGCTCGTGCAGAAACACAGCACAAAGAAACCTGACCATCTCATGCAAATAAACCCCACCACCAAGCAATATTTAATAAAGTTTATTAGGTTACTGAGTGCTATCTACAGTCATAAAATAGAAAGGATTTTAAACTGTACAGAGTCATGTCCTGGTGAGGTGAGGAGAGATGGAAATGAGGGAGCACAAGGGGCAGCAGGAGGAGGGAGAACACAGCTTCTTCCCTGCAGCTCTGGAAGACACTGGTTCGAGTTGAAGGCAACCAAGCAGGGCTCCACACACTGGATTTTGTGTCCCACCCTGCAGCAGAAACTAGTACAAACCCCTATGTTGAAAAAAAAAAACCTCATATAATATTAGAATAAAAAAGGGGCACGTCACACCCCACCCGGTCTTGGCACCAACTCTGTGCTTTAAAAAATATACTATGCAAGTAGTTTATTTTCAAAAAGGTACCCTACAGCAGCTGTTTAAAACATGTTCTTATACATACACCCCACATATATATATTAACATTTTCAACAACTAAACTCATTTGTACCTACACAAAACTGAAGGGATAACTCAAAAGCAAAAACAAAACAAAACAATCACACAAACATTTTTCAAGGAAAAAAAAAAACCACACAAAGAAATGTGCAAAATAACCCCAGAAAGGCAGCATAGTAACCTGCGGAGAGGTCAAGAGAGCAGCTCCTGCTAACAGAGGAGTGCCACCTCTTTGCTTGGCTACTGAGGATCTATTTGGGATGTGCTGATTTTGCCTGAATTGCTCGTCCTGTTTATTGCAGCTCTCCTGCTCCCCAGCTCTGGAGAGGTTCAGTGTCCTCTGCTGTGCCTGTCTGAGCCCTGGGGCTGCTGCTGGAGCCCCTGAGGCCCCTCCTGGGGGACAGAGGGCAGGGAGCCCCTCTGCTGCAGGGTTTGGGGGGATTGGGGTGCTCTGGGACAGACTGAGCCTGGCTTGGGTGGATTTCAGCAGCTTATCAGGGAGAGAATTCCCTGGCAGTGCCAGCAGAGAACATGGAGGGGTCTCTGAGGGCTGAGCACGGGGCAGAGCCCAGGGCACAGGAGCTGCGGCTGTGACAGATGTGTGACAGCTGTGTGACACACACAGATGTGTGACAGATGTGTGACACACGGTCCCAGCCCAGCCAGGGACCCCAGAGCAAAGCTGCAGCTCTCAGCAGGCAGGAGGAGTGTGGGGACACAGCCTGACTGCAAAACCAGCTGTGAAACCCCTGGGAGCAGGATGAGCCCTGGTGCTAAGCAAGGCAGCAGGAGTCACCACCTGTGAGACAGCAACAGAGCAGGGTGAGGATCCCAGCACAGACATCAGCAACACAACCACCTTCTCCAAGCTCAGAAGGGTCCTGGTGGATGAAGGGCTCTTGGTTTTGGCGTTTCAGGGCTTGGGGTTGTACTTTTCTATTTTTTGGCTTTTAAAAACTCATCAATTAATTCTTTATGGTACTCCAGGCTCTTTCCAACTCCGCTGGCCATCCTGAGCCTTTCCCTTCTCAGGACGTGGTCTTGACAGTTGCATTCCTAATGCCTCCTCTTCCTCAGATCACGTTTGAATTCTTACTTGGATCGTTATTCTTTTCTCACCATCCTTCCCTTTGGCTGGCCCAGAGCCATTCCCCTGAGCCCAGGGAGGCAGCACAGCCTCTCCCAGGAGGAGAGGGGAGCACAGGGCTCTGGCAATGTTCCTCTGCTCAGTGCGCTGGGGCAGGGGCTCCCACGGAGCAGAGCGCTCAGCCCGGGAGGCTGCAGCAGTGCCAGGGATGCAGGGATGCAGGGATCCGTCCTCGGCCAGCAGCTCCAGCAGGGCAGGGCCCGGGGCAGCTCCATCCACCGGTGTCCCGGCGCTCACTGGTAGAGCAGGTAACTCTTGAGGGAGGCGGGCAGGGGCAGGGTGGGGATCTCGGCCAGCCGCTCCTTGCCCAGGGCCAGGCGCACGGCCCGCCGGCACAGGTCCATCAGGGGCAGGGGCTCGGCTGGGGACAGAGGGCAGAGACATCAGCAGCCCGGCCCGCGGGGAGCGGCCTCACCCGCCCACCCTGCTGCCTGCAAACCCCTGGAACCGTCAGCAAAAGCACGGAATGCCTGGCACAAGGTGCAGAGTCACCCACCCACCCTGCTGCTTGTAACCCCCAGAGAACTCTGAACACCTGGCACAAGGGGCACTCACCATGCTGCTTCTGAACCCCTTAGACACTGAGCAGGAGCGCTGCACACCTGGCACAAGGTGCACTCACCCTGCTGCTTCTAAAGCCCCCTGAGAACACCGAACACCCGGTACAAGGTGCACACTCACCCACTCACCCTGCTGCTTGTAAACCCTCCAAGGGAACTCCGAGCAAGAGCACTGAACACCTAGCATGAGGTCCATACTCATCCTGCTGCTTGTAAACCCCTGGAGCTCTGAGCAGGAACACTGAAGCCCGGGCAGGTGTGCAGCCCCTCAGCCACTCACATCTCCAGCCCACCAAGCCCTCCAGCAGGGCACCAGGTGTATCCAGGCCACTCCAGCCACAGTGTGTGAATGGAACAACCCCACAGCAGCAGCTGCAAGTTCCTCCTCTGCAATTCCAGCCAGAACACACCTTCATGCCTCTTGCTGCAGTACCCAGAGGGCTTTGTAGAGTCACAGCAGCCAGAGCCCCAGGGGTCTGGGTACCCTGAAAGCAGCATGATTTAGCCCACACAGGAGGGAACAGCTGCCAGCCCCCCTTTTACACTGCAGAGCTCCCAAGGAAAGCAGAGCCATCTGTCAAAGCTCTGCACCCTGACAGTTCCCTCCCGTGTCACAGGCCCAGGAAGGATACCAGCCCTTGGCTATCTTTTTCTGCATCCTGTACTTAACCCCCTGAACAAGATAATACAAGTTTTTCAGGAATGGCACACGGGGCCTTGGCTGCTCAGGAGTCACTCACAGCAAGAGGGGACTGAGGTCAGAGCCAGGCTGAAACACCCCAGCTGCACAGGAGGAAAAATTCACTGCTGAGCCTGCCAGAGCTCACCCTGACCCTGCTCAGGCCTGAGGGGCTCCTCCTGCCCCAGCCAGGGCTGACACATCCCAAAGCAGGTAAATGCCATCCTTCTATGGCCTGAGGGCTCTGCTGCACCACCAGGGAGCTGCCTTTGCTCACAGAAAGCTCCCACAGACGGTGAGCTTGGCTCAGAAGCTGCAGCTTCCACAGCTTTGGCAGATGCCTCCAGCTCCACAACACATGGACCTGACTTGCCAAGCCCAGCATCCCCACTGCTGCTCTGCGTCACCTGTCCTGCGCCCAGCCCTGCCCTGTGTGCTGCTCGGCCACGCCAGGGTCCCTGCTGCCCCTCCCCGGGCACACACACTCTGCTGCTCTGCTCTGAGCCTGGCTGGGCACTGCACAGAGCCCCAGCACTGGCAGCACGCCCTGGCACTGCCCATTCTGAGCACTGGGGCACACACTCAGGTCTGCATTCAGAGCCTGCCCCAGTTCTGCCTGCCCTGCACAGGGACAGCAGGACAGAGGCACTGCCACCCCCAGCACAAGGGGCCTGACCCCCAGAGCCTTTAGGTGCTCACAGGACAATCACATTTCAGTTCAGGGGCCTCTAAAGGAGAGGCTGTTCCACAGAGACTCAGGTCTGTCCTCACCTGGTCTGCACTGAGCAGAGCAGCAGAGAAAGCACACACACACACAGAGCTGACCTCCTTCCATTCACTAGCACCACAATAATCCCTGGACAGGGCTGCATTGAGTGCTCACGAGTGCTCAGAGCCAGACACCTTCTTTCTGTCAGTGCCAGAACAGCATCCATCCCTGCTGGCCTGCTGCCCACGATTCAATGCTCAGCCCAGGGCTCACACACAGCTCCAGCCTGGAGCCCTAACCCAGCCCAGGGCTCACACACAGCTCCAGCCTGGAGCCCTAACCCAGCCCAGGGCTCACACCACAGCTCCAGCCTGGAGCCCTAACCCAGCCCAGGGCTCACACCACAGCTCCAGCCTGGAGCCCTAACCCAGCCCAGGGCTCAGACACAGCTCCAGCCTGGAGCCCTAACCCAGCCCAGGGCTCACACCACAGCTCCAGCAGCTCTGTGCCAGCAGCTCCCCACTCCCTGCCCTGCAGTGCAGCTGCAGGGTTTGGCTTGGACCCTGCGATGGTGCTCACAGGGGTCCCAGGAAGGGAAGAGACGAGGATCTGACTCTGTATTTCAGAAGGTTTGGTTTATTATTTTATTATATACATTACATTAAAGCTATACTAAAAGAATAGAAGGAAAGGTTTCATCTCAGAAGGCTGGCTAAGGTAAGAATAGAAAGGAATGAATAACAAAGGTCTGTGGCTCGGACAGAGAGTCTGAGCCAGCTGACTGTGATTGGCCATTAATTACAAATATCTACATGAGACCAGTCACAGATGCACCTGTTGCATCCCACAGCAGCAGATAACCATTGGTTACATTTTGTCCCTGAAGCTTCTCAGGAGGAAAAAATCCTAAGGAAAGGATTTTCCATAAAATGTGTCTGTGACAGGGCCCTGCAGCAGAACCTGGCTCCTGGAGCTGCTGTGGAGAAAGAGCTGGGCTTTCTTTGGGTGAGAAAGGGCCCTGCCAAGAGCTCTCTGCTTGGTCTTGCAGAGCTGAAGTGCATTTCCCAAAGCACCTGCAGGTTTTGCTCCTGCCCCTTTGCAAGGCTCTCCTGGTCACTCTGACAGCCCAGTGCTCTGCTGGCAGCTCTGTGGCACTCAGGGTTTGCCAGTGCTGGACACCTCCAGCACAAACACAAGAGCCCTTGAGCAGACACTGCTCTGGAATGCAGGGGAAACTGCTCTCCATACCAATATTGCCAAATTTATTTCACTAGTGACATAAATCCAGATTTTAATCCACTTCCTTCACCTCTCTCCTCCACCCTACCCAGAAGACTGAGTCACAGTCTGGCCCCATGGGAACTTCTGACTATGAGAGATAACAGACTTTAGCACATTTGGACAGCCAAATTTATTACTAAGCTCAGCTAGAGACTGATGTGCCTGTTAGTAAAAGGGCTGGCATGTGAGCTGGGCTGACAACAGCACCCAGCCCCTGCTAGAAATGAGCACACCCTGCCCTGAGAGGGACAGGGGAGTGAGCCACCTTCTGAGAGATGGAAAACATTCCCATTTTCTCTCAGAGGGGAGGATCTGTCCCTGTTCTTGCCTGCAAGGGATTTTAAACATCCCCTTGAAGGAAGGGGATTTTTTCAGAGACTTTTTTCTGTAAAGAGACACGAGGATTGCAGTGCCAGTAATGCAACTGTCAGAAGAATTCTGGTATCAATACAAGGTTTCCCATTTCCAGCTGGACAACTGGCATCACCTCCTGCCACCAAACCACGTCCCCAGGCCCTGCCTGCTCCCCGCAGGGGTGACAGCACAGGTGTGCAGACAGACAGACAGACTCTGTGCATTGTCCATGGGGGAATCAGAGCTGCACCCAGCAGTGCTGCTGCTGACACAAATCCTCCCCTGTCGCAGACATCTTCCATGAAAAATCTTTCCTTTAAGATTTTTCCTCTTGAGAAGCTGAGAAGCCTCAAGAACAAAATGTAAACAACAGTTACCTGCTGCTGTGGAATGTAACAAGCGAATCTGTGATTAGTCTCATAGAGTTGTTTCTAATTAATAGCTAATCACAGTCAGCTGGCTCAGACTCTTTGCCCGAGCCACAAGCTTTTGTCATAATTCGTTTTTTTTATTCTTAAAAATAAAATAAAAACATTTTAAAATTTTTTTCTATTTTTTTAGTATAGTTTTACTATAATATATACCATAAAATAATAAATCAAGCCTTCTGAAACATGGAGTCAGATCCTCATCTCTTCCCTCATCCTCGGAGCCTGTGAACACGGTCACATTCTCCCCTGCAGGAAGAGGAGAACCCGGCCCAGGATAGCCCAGGATATGGCCCGGGATGGTCCAGGATAGCCCAGCAGGGCTAGAACAGGGCCAGAACAGGGCTCATACTCACGGTCCAGTCCGTTCAAGTAGCACATGCGGATCTCGCAGTGGCCCCACACGGCGCTCACCACCGGGTACAGCTTCTTGCCCTTGAGCCCCCGGAAGGCCACCCCCATGTACTGCCCGTCCACGATGAAGCTGAGCGTGCCATCGTCCATGTCCAGCACCACCAGGAAGGAGTCGGGCACGATGAAGGTCTCGTCGGGCTCCAGGAAGGCGGGGTAGGTCTTGCTGGGCTGGTTCTTGCCGTCGTGGTAGAGTCTGTTGCGGCCCAGGTCCCAGCCCCAGGACTCGTGGTTGTTGCCCACCAGGGTGGTGTAGCCCACGGAGTGCAGCGGCGCCTCGGCCGTGGCCACCCCCACGACGGCGTGGGTGCCGCGCTGGCGCATGGCCCAGGTGATCTGCCACACGTGCAGCCCCCGCGTGTAGCCCACCTTGCCGCGGATGGCGTCCGTGCTCTGCGCCACCGGGTGCCGGTGGAACATGAGCTTGTCGTCCTCCTTGACGAACACGTTCAGCGAGCGGTCGTCGTTGTTCCACGAGTGCAGCAGCTGCACCTCGTAGGACACGGGGGGCATGTCCAGCAGCAGCTCCAGCCGCGTGGGCTTGCTGTAGTCCAGCCCCTGCAGCTCCTGCTTCAGCGGCCGGTACACAGAGTCCCTCATGTCCACGGTCTTGATCCCCCCCGTGACCTTCTGACCCATGGCTGGCCTCCTCACAGGCTCATGGATTCACCTGGCAGCTCCTGCTGTCATCCAGCCCCGCAGCAAAGGCTGCCAGGAGGCTCTGTCCAGATGTGCACCGCTCAGGATTGCCTAATGGACGGAAAGAACAACAAGAGACGAGTTAAACATTAGCACACTCAGCGCTGCGTGCCACACTGAGAGCACAGCGTTCAGCTGCTCGTCCCAACAAGGTGTTTATCCCAACAAGGTTTGTCCCAACAAGGTTTATGCCAACAAGGAAAGAACAACAAGAGACGAGTTAAACATTAGCGCACACAGCGCTGTGTGCCACACACGCAGAGCACAGCGTTCAGCTGCTTGTCCCAACAAGGTGTTTATCCCAACAAGGTTTATCCCAACAAGGAAAGAACAACAAGAGACGAGTTAAACATTAGCACACTCAGCGCTGTGTGCCACACTGACAGAGCACAGCGTTCAGCTGCTTGTCCCAACAAGGTGTGCTCCCTTCCCACCAGCTGGCCACGGGTGCAGGGCTCAGGAGACAACTCTCTGCAGCCAAAGCTGTGCTGAGTACCTCGGGGCCTGGCTGCCAGCCCAGAGCAGCAGCCCAAAGCTTCGGGGGGACCCTCATGCCAGCAGCTCTGGCCCCTCCAAACCCCTGCAGCAAGGGCAGATAAACCTTTGCCTGGCTCGTCCCAATGAACAGCTTCTCTTCTCCAAGAGGCAAAGAAATCCCCAGTTGCAGAGTCCAGGGGGAGGAGCGAGATCCTTCCCACAGTTGAGCAGTTTTCCTTCCAGACTGCAGAGGAACCTCGGAGAGGTTTGAGCCAGCTTGGCCAGAGATCCCCGCTCGCTCCGTGCACCTCTGCTCCAGCACTGCATCCACTCCAGTGCCTCTGCTCTCACGCAGCAACACAAACAGCCCTCTGTCACACAGCTGCCAAACTGGGGGCAGCTATTAGGAGAATTAGGAGTGGGAGGGGTGCAAACGAGCTTTCTAAGAAAAAAAAGTGTTATTTTAACATTTCCTGAAGTGAGGCAATCATGCAGCGCTCCTGCCAGCTACAGTCACAACACTTACTCACAACCAAGGACCTCATCTGGCATAGAAAACAGAGCATGAATCAGATCTGGTTTAAAAATAAGATTACTGGACATCAGCAAGGCTCCAGCTAGGAGGTAAACAGGGAGGGCTCACTGTGTTCTGGGTTAGGGGTGAATTCAACAGGTTTTCCCCACCAAGGTATGCCATTGGAACAGTGAGCTAAATCCCAATTCTTAAGTTACAAGAGACATGACTATTTTTTCTTTCCTTACCCACTTTTTTAAAAAAAATCATGAATGGAGAGGAAAATGCCTGAGATTCTTTGAAAGTTACATCCCAATGCACAAGCTGCAGTACAGACATTTCAAACCATTCAGGGACCTCAGATGTTGGGCACTGAGACAGAAGATGCCATTTAAATAGGCTCCAACCATGTTATCAGCTGCTGAGATGACCACCACACATCCTGGAAGTGAAATGAATGCCATCCACAACATCCAAACAAATCCTGGCCTGTGTAAGCCAGCTGGTCACCAGCTGAAAAGAGGAATAACAGCAGAACCAGCTGAGGGAGGGCAGCAGGGGATGGCAGGGCCATGGCTGAGCTGCTGTGCCCCAAGGGTTTCCATGGCTCACAGCCCCTCAGGAACAGCAGCATCTCCAACCAAGGCAGCCCCAGAGCAAACCAAAGCAGACACCAGCTGAGCTTCCCCAGGACAGGCACGTTAGAGCTGACCCAAAGCAGTGATTTTGGAAAAGGCTCAGTGCAGGCTCCTTGCTCAGCTGGGGTGAAACCAGGCAGCAGCACCAGGTGAACTCCCTGGCATCCCATGCCTGAGGCACATGGACAAAAGCTGACAGCAAGGGACTGGCAAGGCACACGTGGGAGTCCACAGGCAAATCCAGCTGCTGGAATTTTGATTAGGATAAGGGAACAAAACACTGGCAGAGGGAGGAGAGGCAGAGATTTCCTGTGCAGTACACGTGAGAGCACAGCATAGGAAACAAGAACCAAAACAAAGCAGGCTGCAGGAGCGCAGACCTCTTTGAAGCACACAACACCCAGCAGAAGTGAGGGAACACAACTGTGCTCTTCATTAGCAAAACAATGCCTTGTTCACTGCGGCTTTCTGCCTTTTGCCAGCATAAGCTCCATCATATTTCTCTGAGGCTGCTGCAGCAGGAAGGGAAAGGGAATCACCCCAGGGAGATTCCAAACACAGGCACCACTCATCCCCTGCACTGCTCAGGAGCCTGTCCCAGGCACTGCTCACAGCAGGCGAAAGCCAATGGCCAGAATAAAGAGAAAGGGGTGAAGAAAGGGAAAAGATTGAAGCAGAGGGTGGGTCAGAGTGAGAGCAGGGCAGGTACAGCCAGCCCACGCCAGGATTGAAGTGAAACACAGCTCCTTGTTAGGGCAGGGCAATAATCCCTGCCCACAGCTGGCTCTGCTGCTCCGGGCACCAGGCCTGGCACTGCAGAGTGGCACCCTGCCCTCTGCCAGGAGCACAGGGATGCCCTCATCTCCTAAAAGGAAAAGCCTCTGCATGCACAAGACAATGCAGGCACTCTCCTGCAGCAGGAGGAGACAGAAAGGCTCATCCTGTGAAATTAATGGATTAATGCCCTGGGCAGCTCCACAGCCAGCCATAAATGAGCAGACAGGCTGGGGAATGAGCTGCGGCAGGTTTACGTACAAATGTAAACACTGAAAGTGCTTTTATCTGTCTTACCAACAGCTCAGGCTGCTGCAACTCTGCTCTGCTTTGCCAGCAGCAGCTCATCCCCACTCCTGCTCCCAGCTGTTGTCAGTTCCATTGTTAACCTCATGGGCTAAAAATCCAGGGACTGAAATCCTAAGGGTGCCTCAGAGAAAAGGATTCCCTGCTATTTTCAGTGAGACTCAGCCCTCCCTTCCATTTAGGTGCTCAGAGCAGGCTGTCAGTTTGCCGTGCTGGAAGGAAATGCCAGGCTCCAAAACAAGTGATGGTACAAATAGATCAGGGCAGCAGACAGCAGAGACATTGAAATGGAAGGAAAATCCTGCTGTTAAATAGGAGAACACAGCTCTGCAAGCAAGGCACTGCCTGTGGCAGAGCAGAGCTGGTGCCCAGCTCAGGAACTCTGGTTCCTCTCAGAGCCTGTCCCTTCCTTGCTCTGCACCCACAGGACACCTGTGTGCAGCACCCACAACAGGAACACACAAAGGATCCTCAGCTCCTTCACTCCCGATCCACTTTTACTTTATTTCTACAAGTCAGTTTACTGTGGCTTTATCTCCTTCCCATAAACTCATTAGGTGTACTTGCACAGATAAGAGGCCAAACCTTTACACACCTCACAGGCTCTGGGTGCTCTGCAGACAATGAATCAGAGCCCTGCCCTAGAGATTTCCAGCCTGGAACACACCTCAGCAGAAAAGGAGATAATATATATATACTGCACATGGTCAGGAGCCTCTGACAGCGCCAAACTCGGCCCCAAAGAGCCAGGACACCCCATTTCACCTGCTGCTAGTTCAATGCCCTCTCACCCATCCCTCCAGTGATGGTTCTGGCACACTCAGGCAGTTCTGATGAACATTTCTGCTGTTTTGGCAATGCCCTCTCACCCATCCCTCCCGTGATGGTTCTGGCACACTCAGGCAGTTCTGCTGAACATTTCTGGCTGTTTTAGCAATGCCCTCTCACCCATCCCTCCAGTGATGGTTCTGGCACACTCAGGCAGTTCTGATGAACATTTCTGCTGTTTTGGCAATGCCCTGTCACCCATCCCTCCAGTGATGGTTCTGGCACACTCAGGCAGTTCTGATGAACATTTCTGCTGTTTTGGCAATGCCCTGTCACCCATCCCTCCAGTGATGGTTCTGGCACACTCAGGCAGTTCTGATGAACATTTCTGCTGTTTTGGCAATGCCCTCTCACCCATCCCTCCCGTGTCTGGCTCTCCAGAACACAGCTCTGAGGTTACTCACAGCAGCACGTCTGAGTCAATGAAAAGCTGAAGCAAAAACCACCACCCAACCTCAACCAAGCCACTTGCTAGACACTCAAACAAATTTCCACTGTCCACCTACCCAGCCAGTTCCTGTGAACTGCAACACTGCATAATCTGGCAGAAAATAACTCCAAGCAACAGGAGAGAGCTCACACTGCAAAGTATTTGTAAGGATGGAAGCGACTCAGGAGGAGTTCCAGAAGTTTGTGCCAGAGATCTTCTCTCCCACTGAAGGCAGGTCACAAACAGCAGTTTTGGTTGCAGAGAAAATGCATTTCTTTAAATGAAACAAGGGAACTCGGGCTGCCTTTCCTCACAGGGGAAGTTCAGTGGATGTTTCAAAGGTCATCAGGCTCCTTCCAGCTCTGCACAAGGTAACTCATGAATGTCAAGTGCTCAGCCTGAGCAGCACCTGAACACGGTGGGAAAGGCACAGACATCCCACACTCCCGATTTCCTTAGCTGCGCCCAAGAGATGCGTCCACAACCTGCCTGCAGACTAAAAACCACCACAATAAGTCCCATAAGCAGCAGGAGGAAAGGTCACAGGCAGAGGTTCATACCCACAGGTTCACCTTCCTTACACCTCTGTACCTGTCCACCTTCACCTGATTTTCCACGTGTAATGGAGGCCTTGCACACAACCCTGCCGATTCTCCCTGTGTTATGGAGACCTTGCACACAACCCTGCTGATTTTCCACGTGCTATTGAGACCTTGCACACAAGCCCTGCTGATTTTCCACGTGCTATTGAGACCTTGCACACAAGCCCTGCTGATTTTCCACGTGCTATTGAGACCTTGCACACAAGCCCTGCTTCCAGAGGAAGCCTCCCAACCCTCCAAGGCTGAAACCTGTGCCTGGCACATTGCAAACACAACTGCAGTTTTATAACCCAGCAGCACTGAAAGGCCTGGTCAGACTGCCCTGCTTGCTGGCTGGTTTCCCCTGCAGCACTGGAGCCATTTGAGGCTGCATTTAGAGAGGCATTTCCTGCACAATTAAGCCACCGTGAATTTTAAACAGTAAATGTTTATGTTCTGAGCTATTTGCCTTAAAGAAGCCCACATAATCCGGAACAAGCCACCCTCTTGCACAACAACTCCCTGCTTTTTGTTATTTCCCTGCTTGATTTGCAGCCTGCACTGCCCACTGCCCATCCCTCATCTCTGTTTCACTATCTGGGTTCATGAGTTTTGTCAGATAATGAGGGGAGCAGCAGAAAGAATGAAGTTTGATATTTCTGCCTGTGCCCAGAGTTTCCACTCCTGTATCAAAAGCAATTTTTGGCTGTGGCCAACACCACCACCAACCCATCAGGACAAAACTCCGGATAACAAAGCACAGCTCTCCCCTAAAACAGCTCATGAATTCATTTTTTAACAGAAACCCACGTTCTCAGCAGCCACTTACCAGAACAGCCCTGTGTCCCTTCCCAGGTGACAGCAGGGCAGAGCATTTCCCAGAAAGATGCATTGAAAACACTCACAGTGGAGTGTGAGGAGTCAGCCCCTGCTCCTAAAGGCAACACAACATCAGTGTCAGGAGCCACAGACCCAGCAGGACCCCTCCTGTCAGGTACAGCAGTTGTAGCTGGAGCTATTCTAATATTAAGTTGTACAGTTACTGTCTCTTCCTTTTTTCATTTAAGGATGTCACAAGCACTGCTAACAGTAAAGCAAAAATCCCCAGAGCAGAGCAGCTGCCAAGCACCAGATTACTCAGCCTGTTACTCCCAAACACGTTTATTGTGTCTGAAGCTGCAGCACATGTATTTACATCAAACGCATCCCTGCCAGAGGGGAAGTTGTGCAAGTGTCTGGTACTGCTCCTCGCTGCAGAGACAGCACTGCTGAAATCTGGGCCAGGCACTGCGAACAAACAAATCCTGGCCCATTGCAAGAGTCTCACCAGGAGCTGGATGCTGCTCTGATCCAGAGCAGCACATTCAGCAAAACCAGGGCCTCGTGGCGCACAACTGAAGTTCTGCTCCATCCCTGCTGCTCTCCAATCCTGCTTTCTCTCTCATCAGTTTACTTCTGTAAACCTTCAAAACCAGAGCCTGCCCAAGTCTGGGCAACCTTGTTCCAAAACTTCTCATTCTTGGGGTTAAGCATCTTCCTCCCTGTCCAAGTCATTCCAGCCAGTTTCAGGTTGAATTTTGTGCTCATCCTCAGGTCAAATCACTCCTAAACAAGTGAATTCAACCCCTTGTCCCAGCTGTTAGTGCCTTCACACCCCACAGCAAACGACTCTTAAGCAACACAACCATGGATCAGTTCACGTGCCTTACTGCCTTACCTTGGCACATGGAAAATCTCAGCATTCCTCTGTAACATTCACCCAGATCTCTCCATCCTGGGCTTCCCAAGTGCTGAAGAACAGGACCGAGGCTGCACCCTGTGTGTGAAGACCCCAGTGGATCCTTCACCCTTTGAACTGCAGATTCAGGCTCTTCCTGTCCTGAGGTCTGTGGAGTCTGAGGCTGTCACCACAGAGGACAAAACCTCACAAGAGGAGACAGCTGAGTCACTGAGGAAGTGACTTTTTTCATAGTGTTTGAGAAATCATTCTGTTCACTTAGCACAAGGATGTTTTCAGAAGTCACCACCCTGCGATGCACC